TTTCCGGATAGTTTCCAATTATTCAGGAAAATTTTCAGGGTTGGACGTGTGATGGTGACGTTGATGTACTTTTCACAGCTGCTGGCGCACCCCGCGTACGCGCGCGCCCGCTCGGTGGCCGTGTACCTGAGCACGCCCTCCGAGGTGGACACGAAGCCCGTGCTGGAGGAGCTGCTGGCGGCGGGGCGGGCGTGCTTCGTACCGCGCTACGCGTACGGCAAGGCCAAGCGCGAGCGCGAGGCGAGCGGCCGGCCCTGCATGGAGATGGTGCTGCTCCGCGACATGGACGACTTCCGCGCGCTGCCCGCCACGCCCTGGGGCATCCCGCAGCCGGACATGGACGAGCCGCGGCCGCAGCCCGGCGAGGCAGGCGAGTACCATGGCCCCGCGCGACGAGGTTCACCATTAGAGTCCTCGTGATATTTTCATCCCGGGGTACAAATGTTATAGCCTCGTTAGGTTCAGGATTTCCCTCGGAGTTCATATAGGAACCACATGATATTCTTACCCCGGGGTAAAAGTATCATGGGATCCGTTTTCAACTCTATAGGTGATCCGGAACCGAGTGGGCAGGCCATATTATTTGCACCCCACCAAAAAAACAAACAAACAAAAAAAAGCCTGGGCTCTTAAAGTGATACTTTTACTTTTTTTGATTTTTTTCTTTTTTTTGTTTGTTTAGGGACGGGCCCTTTGGACCTGGTGCTGTGCCCTGGGGTGGCCTTCACCAGGGCGGGCGATCGGCTGGGGCATGGTGCGGGCTTCTACGACAAGTTCCTGGCGGCGCTGCCGGGCCCCAAGCCCACCACCATCGCGCTCGCCTTCGCGGAGCAGATGGTGGACACGCTGCCCACCACGGCCCGCGACGTCACCATCGACCACATTCTGACGGGAGAATGAGGGCGGCGTGGCGTCGGACCAGTGCAATACCCAGCTAGAAATGAAAGTCGAAACGACGTCGTCTCGTCGAACGACTTTTATTTCTGGCTTGGATAATGCTCCGCAGGACACCGAACTGATACAGGGTAAATTCCTTTTTGTATTTCTACATTTTTGTATATAAAAGTACAATGCACATGTGTTCGATTTGTATTTTTTTAAATCGTGCATCCATAAAATAGATGTTTAAAATTTTATGAACTGCTGAAAATTGTAGCTGCAAAATTATTGCATATTCCTCGTGTTTTTGATAGAGTTGCCAATGGAGGCTACGACAACTACTGCAAAAAAATAACAATACAAATGATTCGTACAACATTTATTTCTTCACAAGTATACATAAACACAAGTATTACACTAATCATCTTCTGGTATGGGGAGTAATTCCATGGGACCCTTGTAAAACACATACACGCAGATTGATAGCCCAGCCCGTAAACGGATTCTTCTCCTGATGGGAACGTTTTCAAGCTGAAGGACGGGGCGTATCTATTTGGCACCCACACGCCCAGGGAGGCTTCCTAGAAACCTTGGCGTGTGTAAAGTGCCAATCAGATCCACCCCTAGATAGGTTGACAGCATCAACTCGTTCTCTTCGATGGATCGATCTCCGCGCTGGGGGCGTGCGTCGCGGCGGCCAGCACTGCCCTGCGGTGGGAGGGAAGCAGGCGGCCTGAACCCAGAAAAAACTACTTGCCGCACCCAACGCAGGGCAGGGCAAGGCCTGCGTTTTCCAGGCGTTTCAGGCCTGCGGCCTCCAGGGGCGGCGCCGCACCTGGAAACGTTTTTGCTGTCGTACTCACCGCTGTGCGCGCTGCGGCTCGTCATATCCGACCTCTGTCCCCTTCCCCCACCGTGCAAGTGGCTGGCGGCGTGTTGTCTTTTCAGTGCGTCTTACATTACGTTGGCCCGTAGGGTTGGAAGCCCTGGAAAGTTTCCGGAAAATTTCGGGAAAATTTAGACAAAAACCGGGAAACATCCGGGAAAAAACATCCCAGACTTTGGAAATTTTCCTTTATTTTACGGAAATTTTCCGGAAAACTTTGGAAATTTTCAACCCTAGTTGGCCGAGAGCTGCGTTCAGTTCATGAGCCGTACAAAGGTTTGTGTGAGTAGCGTTACGTGGGATACGAAATAAGTGAACAGTGTATTCTTATTTGTGGCCAGAAGCATATTCTTTACGACGCTGGGCCTGGGCACCCGAAAGCGACTACTGCAGTTGTTCGTTCCTCTCCTGCCGCTCTTACCGGAAGTGTCTGCATCACCAAGTGCATAGCGTTACACGTTACAGGCAGCAGCGCTCAGCTGCGCAGGAGCGTTACCCATGGGTGTACCCCACCGCACCACCACACATGTGACACATCACATCACCGCCAGCTATGTAGCGGGGGAAATCATATGAGAAAAAGACCATAATATTCTTCGTCAAAAGAGAAAACCGGAAGTGCTTGTGACTGCCCTCCACCGTCACCGCTGCGAATCCGACTTTGTTCGACTGCCCTGACAAAGTCGGATCCACAGGGTAAAAGCGGCGAGCAGCAGGCTCATCAGTGTGTCCGGGTCCAGCACAGGCACCGCTGCGGAGCAACATCTACCAGTACCTCTACGTCTACGTCTAACACAACGACACCGTGTGACGACGGCACTCGCTGGCAGGGGTGAGCTTAGCAGCAGCAACCCCCGCCACGCTCTTGAGTGGTTGGTTGACTGTTGACTGTCACTCCCGAACCGGCCGGGGGCTGCCGCGAAGCAGCAGGGTGGGTGTGTATGCTCAACCCCCAAGCAAGCAGGGACTGTTGACTGCTCTAAGCGTGCATTAGTGGGTCACGGGGCCGCCCACCCCAATCCGATGCGCACAGGCGGCACTGGTGCAACCCCCCCCC